ATTCTCATTACCCACATGTAAACTAATAAGCATATATTACTTCAGTTCCAGGAGATCTAATGCCCTCTTCTGACCTGCACATGTACATGTTCATGTGGTGTACATATAAACAGGCACATAGAATTTAAAATAAGTCTTTTAAAAAAGAAATTTGTAATCATATGTGAGAGAATATAAGAGTGATTCACGATAATACAATTTTAAAACATGTCATGAAAGATGTACTAAAGATATTTCTGTAGAAATAGAAAGTAGTCTTGCATAGAAACGGTCAGAAATTGAAACTTGAAGGATAAGGGAATTTCAACAATCAGTTTTGAGGATAAACAGAATATAGAAAACGAAACATTTTAAATTCCCATGGTATTAGAATGGGATAATAGTCATTCTACCAAAGCTGGTGAATAGCATTAGATTATAAAAATATGGAATAAGAGAAGCTAGTTTAAAGAAAAGATGATTGAGGAAGATGGTACCATATCATAAAAGGTTTTGAAGGCATTTGAGGGAGATAGAACCCTTTAAAAGATACTAATGAGAATTCTAATGGAACTGTACATGCTTAAAGTTCAAATTGATTCCTCTTGCAACACTGTGGAAATCAATGTTAAAAGACATAAAACTGAAAATCTAAGTCATTTTTGTAAAGGTAGGTTGTTTAACAGTTCAGAGTTGCCAGAAATGTTTATAACATTCTATATTCAGTACCTATACCACAAAAGACTAAGTCAACAACAGAACTGTTCCTCCTGATTACTAAAGCAGTTGAAGTGATAAAGAATAATCTACAAAGTTGGTAAGACATGCATCTTATAATTTCAAGAACAAGTCAGATAAGACACTGGCTAGGCCCTGAAGGTCAAAGACAATTTTATTATAAAATACTTCGAAATTTATCTCTTTCTTATGCTGGTGCTTTTGAAATTCATACTCTCTGTCAAGATTCACCAATTTCTGTCTATTCCATGGACATTTCTTTCCAACATCAACACTAAACTTCACTCTAAAATGTACCATGCTAACTGATCCAAGACATATCAAATGTATATATACTCTCCATGATAAAAATCTTTCTCTCAGAGGTCAATAGTTTCCTCCTGTCTCAAGGGCTCACTTCAGCCCTTATTTTTCTCCAGCATTGGGGAACTGTACTTTGGTTTTCCTCTTCTTCCAACTCTTTCTGTATTTGCAGATTTCACTAAGAAAATGTCCTCCATTTATAGTAAGATTGAATATCTTAGAACAGTATATATAATTCATCAATATTGAACAAAGGTCTAGACAGGGAGTAGGAACTTTTGCAAGCAAGAGAATATAGTGCAGGCATATGTTAGCAAACACTTAAGAATGTCTGTCACATGAGCTACTTTCCCAGTCAAAAGCCATAATCTTTCACTTTCCTTCTCTTGACATAAAATGAAGTTAAACTTCAAGAAATTAGGACACATAAGAAATTAAAAGCCTATAATTCCAGTTTTCTATTTCCAGCAGGAATCTTATATGCTTAAGTAGAATTCTATCATTTAGCACTATATTTTTGTAGAAATAAGTTGTGCTTCAAAATATGTGTTTATATCAGGCTTTTCAGTCTAATTCACTAATGCTGAGGCCAAGATTTTAATAGGTACCAAAATTAAGCTCCCCTCCCTAATATTCAGTTTTCACAAAGAGACAACTCAAGCATATTTATATAATTATCATATGAGATTTGTCCTTAACTCATAGTAAAATACTAAATCCAAGTCCCTGTGTTTCCTATAAGTTATCCAATGCTATTTTTATGTATATCACTAATTTTTCTAGGAACTGGGAGTTTTATTATTATACCTTTAACAGATCAGGAAATTGACTCTCAGCAGGATTAATTTTATTTCCATAAGTCTAAGACGTATTGCAATTTGATTTGTAATAAGATGTCTTTACAAAGCTAGAAAAACATAAAACTCTCCATTTCTAAACAAGTTTTTGCATGGAAGAAAAATATTTTAAGATGCCATTTATAAGGAATACATTCTTCTTAATAAAGACACTACACTTCTTGGATGTAGTTCTAGCACTTTTATCTATATGCACTACACATATAAGACAAATGACTCCCCACCATGTCTCAGGGTAGTCCCACCAGGGGTCATTTCAAAATCAGGAATTTTTATGAAGTTTTGCATATGGGCTCAAATCGCAGTAGATTGCAGATAGAAAATTTGGTACATTTTAATTTTGGCTTTGATAGAAGGAATGTTGAGTTGAGCAAGACTTGTAGGATATGGAAGACTGAAAACAGAATAATATTTTTTTAAAAATACTACACTTGGATCAAAAAAAGACTATGATTCTACTAGTCAAATACCTATTCTCTACATTGTTGTAATAAGCCCAATTTTTATTTCTTTATTATTAAAATAAGGCAATTGAACTCAATGGTCTTTACTTCTGTTCTCACTCTAACTTACCTTGTCTATTATGGTCACTACCCCTAACACTACTGCCTCTGCCAGATCCTGATGCAGCCACTACCACTGAAAATAAATATATTTAGAGCATTATAGATATGTGTACATAATGATCGAAAAATCATTATGGAATTATAATTACAATAATTATAATTAGTGAATCATTTAATTGAAACCTGAGGATACTAGAACTCAAATAAGTAATCCCATTTCCTCAAAACTATTAAGCAGCCGGGCGGTGGTGGCTCAAGCCTTTAATCCCAGCACTTGGGAGGCAGAGGCAGACGGATTTCTGAGTTCGAGAGTTCAAGGCTAGCCTGGTCTATAGAGTGAGTTCCAGGACAGCTAGGGCTACACAGAGAAACCTTGTCTCGAAAAGCCAAACCAAAAAAAAAAAACAAAAAAACAAAAAAAACAAAAAAAAACTATTAAGCAATGAACTCAGAATGCTCAGAAAGGAAAATCAGTTCTGGGATTAAACTCTATTCATTCCCTAAGTATGAGCTCTATGGCTCTTCACCCTCTCAGCACTCCTTCTCTTTTTAACCTCTTGTCATCAAGAAACCAGCACAACTTAGCAAACATGTATATCAAAACTGCTTCTATTTTTCTTGATAGTAGGGGTAGCCTGTCGACTTGTTGTCTTATAAAAATTGAAAAAGTTAAAGGACTAGAGACATGGAAAAAAGCAAAATCCCTATTCTAATAAAAATGCTGAAAGTACACATGTCCACATTCTTCTTGGTGACAACATGCACAATAGTTACAAAGTACCAATGTAATGGGTAGATTGTTCTTAGTCCAGGATTTGGTTACTTACAACATCAACCTTACATTAATTTTTTGTTTCTTGAAGAAACCAATGGCTTTAAAATCCTGATCTGAACCTCAAGTAAACTTTTGGGATAATTTAATTAAAATACACTGTAGAACTCCCTACCCAACCATTCCCCTGATTATGGAAAATTGTCTATACTGTGGTTTTACAGCAAACATCTCTGTGTTCTTTGTTAGAACCATGGCACAGGCTTCATAGGATGCCAAATCACTTATTCCAAATTCACTTATACAGCCACCAAGTACCACCCCCAACCTTCCCCCAAAACTGTGCTCATTCCCTTGGAGTTCTTTGTTCCTCCACTACTTTGATTTAGTAGCCCATACAGTTTGAACTGAACAACTTTCTCAATTATGCTCTAAAAAGAACTGTGTTTGATCAAAAAAGTGAATGGATTCAGCAAGAAACATTATAAAAAGCAATTGTCCTAAATTTATGATTTATGGTCTGATAATCAGTATAGTTTAGACAATTAGAAACCCTATATGTATGTGTGTATATATACATATACATATACATATACATATACATATACATATACATATA